TAGTGGGGGCTCCAGGGCCTTCACAGGTCTAACACAGTCAAGTGTTCCAAGGCTGAGGCAGCTCCAGCTTTACTACGGTGGAACAGCTGGGGAACTTGCCTTGAAGTATTGTGAGTAAGAACAATTTTACTCACAGGTGAAGAACACTTAGGGGTAACTAAGGAGCTGAAAAACTTACAAAGGACTAAGCCACCCCCATTGGGTTTGGCTGCCTCCAAAGCCACTATGGAGTGTTCAGGCCAAATTTATTTCCTGCAAGAAGAGTCCACTTCAGAAAAGCCAAGAACAGCCTGCATCCTATGACTTGGGTATTTTTTTAAACTTGTTTTTGCTGTTGTTGTTTTGAGTTTTTTCTGTTTTGTTTTCTCAGGAGTGGAGGTGTGGGGGGTGTTCATTTTGGCCTTGGTTCTGTGTGCCCCTGTATGCCTATTTCAGGGCAGATTTTATTCCCTCATCTACTTTCTGTGCCTCCTAGACACCACCCTCCCCCACCCATGAGAAGAGATCCAGAGAACAAGAGATCTGTAGTTGGGACTGAAGAGCAGGCATTTCAATATGGATATGTATCCATTCTATCCATTCTAACTGCAATATCTTTTGTGAAAGTGAAGCTACTTAAGGCAATTTCCATAAGATCCGTCCTAGAAGAAAAGGTTCTGTGGGGACAAGGTGAGAAAGCTGTTAACTATTGTCTGGCCCTGAAAAGGTCGTAAGTCAGAGCCTCAGTAGCTGACCTGTCAGGGGAAGGTATAAAGGCTTTATTCATGCAGTTGCTGCAATGTTCTCAGCTCTCACAAAAGTGTTTTTATGATTCGATTTTCTTACCTCTTTTCTTAATTAAAAAGCTGAACCGTTAGAATAGCACCTGCATCGGTCCTGACAGTGCCTGCATACTAATTTCAGAGTCTTTACAGCTTGTAATTATAACATAAAATCAGAGATTGAATAAAACAGAAGGATTTTGCTCCCAAAGCCCTGCTAATCCCCTTTTAAAAGGGTCTCGTGAAATAATTCACAACAGTTTCCGGAAGTTGGATTACCACTCCTGGTTTTGTTTTTTTTTTTTTTTTTTTTTTTTTTTTACTTTTTACAATGAAATGATATTTCACATTTTTAAAAAGGCTGTTTTTCTACAACAGGTTTTTATTTATTTATTTTTTTATAAAAGAAAGTTTTCCAGCCTTGGGGGCAATAGAAAACATTTCACTATAAATTTTTTACTAAATGCAGTGGCAGGAAATGTAGGGAAAAATTTGTGGTATGTTTGAAACTATTTTCTCAGGTGAAAGTGGCTAAAGTGTGATAAGCAACTGCTTATGTGCATCAGGCAACTCAATTCTCTCAGAGGAAATAAATAAGCAAATATTTTGGGGGCAGATGCCTATTTTTCATAGCTTAGAAATATGAACATTTCAGGAAAAACGTTTTTCACCAAGATGCTGGGTGTACTCTTTAGAGGATTAATGAATACATTAATCAGTTCAAAAGCTAGAGGCCTCTGTTAAACCCTAAGTAAGACCTTGCAATGACACAAAGCAAGGACCTTGAGGTGTCTGCAGTTTCTCCTTAGTTTTGGCAAAGAATACTATTCTCATGTGGCTAATCTGGTCTTGCATGGGCTAGCCTTCAGTCATAGACAAGGGAAAACTAAATCATCCTTCTGATAGCCTATATACATCATCTAATGTTATTGGTGGATTATTTTTTCTTATTTTTGCAATTCTACAACTACATGTCACAGCTATAATGATAGATAATTCTCTAATTTTGCTTTATTCTCTCTGCAGACATTTCCCAAGGCTGTTCTGATTCAAGATCATGTACAGCCTTGCTCACCTTGTTTTGCCCTGCATTTTGGCTCACGTAGTCTACACTGGCTCTAAATGAGGGAAAAAGAGAAAAGAAGAAGGCAAGACAAGTTTCAAAGTGTATCCTCATGGTCACATTTACACTAGATGGACCTGTACCCATGCCCTAAGGTATTTTTTTCATTCTCTTCTTATCCACGCAGTTGCTTTGGATGTTTGCAAAATCACTAGACAGTTTGGACAATTCAGGGACAAAACTCAAGACCTCCCCAAAGTGTCTACTGAATTTCTGTTTTTCCTGAAGGACTTTGGGTTCTGAGCCCCAAAACATTCCTAGGAAACTCCCGCTTGTTTTTCTCATTGGAGATATTTGGGTGAAAAGGCAAACCTATCCTGATTCGTAGAAATGAAGTTAGTAAAGTATGTAATTTGGGGATCTTCAGTCACTTGTTGATCAAGATGTTATTAATTTTGCTGAAACGAGGATTTAGTAAGAAAAAAATCATGATTGTGAAAAAGGTCCCGATGCCTTCTTGGGAAAAAAGTACTTTTGTGTGACTTTTGCCCAAACACCCTGTCCTCAGACCCTTAGCTGCCTGTCCCCTCTCTCAACTCACATTTTCCCACCTTACACACCCAAGACTTGAAAAACTCACACCGCACAGGCTTATGATAAGATAAATTGACACAAGGCAGACTGAACCATTGTGTCTACTGCAATGCCAGTCTTAACAAGTCATAGAGGTGACATTAAGGCAATTGGTTTCTTCAGCTTTGTTCCTCTCCAAAATAAACTCAATTCTTTCTAACTTTTCTTGTATCTTTAAAAACTAATTTACATTTTTGCCTCAGTGCCTGGGTGCCCTGGGCTCTGGAACTCTCAGAGAATAAACTTCTCAGAGAATTGATCTCAGAAAACAAAGTGACATCGGGGCTTTCAGTTATCCTTCTGACTGCCTGAAGGAGGTGCACACTGCTATGGAGTTTAGGGTCCCTGAGGGCGCCACCATTTCTGCTAGGGACCGAAAATATTCACCTGATTCAATGAGGAGCTAGGGGAATGTTTCTGAAAGACAGAATCCCAAGATAAGTAATAGTAATAACAACTAGCACTAGCAAGTACATTCTAAATGTTTAAAGGATTATCTCATTTAACACTCAAAACAAGCTTGCAAAGGAGGTTCATTTTAATTTCATTTTACAAATGAAGGAACTAAAGCACAGAGAGGTTTCATCATTTATCCAGGGGCACAGGGCCAGTAGGTGGACAAGTGGGCAGACTGCCTCCTCTTATCCAAGATCTTTTCACCAGGCCAGCAGTTTCTACCTGGTGCTCTAATGAGGAATAGCGAAGAAGAGAGCAGGATGAAGTGGAGGGATCATTAGATGACTAAAGCGCACCCAAGCTTCTCTGAGCATTGTCAGTTCAGGGTGGGAGGTGGGTAACTTCCCCAGAGAGCAAGTGAGATAATTCTAGGGTGAGGCTAGCCAAGGGCACTTGGGGACCAGTAAATTCAACCCTCTGTCAAAGGTTACACTATTCAACTCTGCCAAACAATAATGACTCAAAGGAAATCTCAGCTCTCCTAGTGGCTGGGGCACTGAGGTGTCTAAGAGCACTTTCTCTTTCCTCTTCTACTGCCTCACAGTTCGAACTTGGAAGTTTTGAAGACAGGCCTTTCTTTCTCCAAAACCCTTTCACGGAATGTCAAGGACAGCGGAGCCTCCTGGGCACCCTGTCTTTTCTCTGCATTCTAGGGAATGATTCGGACCTCAATTCCTGAGTGCCCTCTCATGCAAGGCTTTCCTGGGAGGAATGGGAAGGTGTGGGTAGAAGGGCTGGGATTCTCTCTGGAGCCATGGGCAGGAACAGCTGTGAAGACTCCAGGCAGCAGGATTGAGCAGAGAGCTCCGAGCCCCAGAAAAGCCTTGACTGGAAGTCCCGAGTTCATTCCTAATCCCCACTTGCTCCTCACCACAATACTCAGTCGGTTAAAGGGCTTTAATGAGTGCTCTTTCTCAAAGAGGCCGGGTTGAGGAGAGGCCCCTCTAATCCGTCCCTGAGACGGAGGAAGGGGGCCCTTCCGCGAAAGGAACGGGAGGGGGCGCTAACTCCAGTGTTAACGCCCATGGACCTCCTTTCTCAGGGATGCCATTGACTTGGACACGTCTTGGTTTCCCCTCGTGTCCGCCTTTATCACACCAGTGCGTCTCACTCGCACCTTTGCGCGCTGGGGTCCTTTCTCCCAACGTTTTACCCAGGACTGCAGCCCTTGCCCTACGAATTGAGTCTACCAGGTGTTCTCTAAGGAGACCCAGCATTCCCACCCTAGGAGTCGTTGTCTTCCCACTCCATCCAGCCCCTTGCCCCAACCAAGCCCACGGGAACCAACTTCTCAGGAGTTAAAAAAGTGTCAGGCGAAAGCCTCCTGAGCGGTAGGTGCAGGGGCAACAAGGTATGCGGGTATCTAGAGGTCTAGTGGCCACACAGTGGAGGAAGGAAAATGGCTCTGGTGATTCATTTGAAATAAGTTTCCCAGTGGCTGGGCCAGGTAACCGTGGCGTGTATCAGATGCTGAAACTCACCAGATATCTCAATCGCGGCCCAGGAAAGTGTCATGTGGGCTGTAGCCCCTCAGTCTTCAGGCATAGAGACCTTCGCAGGTATCTGAAGGGAGCCTTGAGGTCTGAGCAATCACTTCTCCCAGATGGGGCAGAGTCCAACTAGGAAGATCTCTGTGGGCAACTGTGCCTGAGACACTCCACCAGCGCTTAGTCAGGTCTTAGAGCCGAACTGTCCTGTCTTTTTCTTTCCTTGTTTTCATTCCCACCAGCTACTGGACATTTCTCTGGGAATTCAGACGTGGTTTATTAGATGTTGCTCTGAGCTGGAAATGCAGAAAGGTAGCCTTTCCTGGCAGACACTGAGAGCATCCTTCCAACATTTTCCATTCTATAATGTATTAATAAATTGGTTGATGATGTCAGTGTCATTAGGGTGAAATTGGGATGAGAGAAGTCTTTCTCATAATGGCTTCTTTAGGGAGTCCCTCCTTTTTGCTGTCCTGAGACTAGGCCCCCAGAGATATTTGTGTGAATCAGTGAAAAAAGACTGAGGAGAGAATTAGAGGCTTCTGGAGGGCCTCAAATCTCTCCCAAGATGAAGAAACAATAACAGGACACCAGGATTCAAAAGAGGAAGGGAAACATCACATCATTTATTTCCAAAGAAAATAGCCAAATGGAGTGCCATGTACACAAAGGCCTTTGGAGGGAAAAGGAATCACAGATTTAATATCATTTACATTTACATATTTACAAGATCAAGCCATGGCTTTCAACTTTGTTGTTCATTCAACAATCACTTTCAGTCAAACAACTTTTTATTTTCAAGTTAGTTCATAATTTAACTGACACTAAGGAGACAGATGATAAATCACAAACAGTGTGGGTAGAGAGGGTACAAACAGTCTAAGGTTTCAGCCAGGCTTTTGTGTATATGTGAATTATGATTACAAAATGTTTGCCTGTCTGTATAATTCACATTCATTGCGATTATTACATTTTCTCATAAATTAGCAATATAAACAAACATATGGAGACCTCCAGTTAACAAATAAAATCAATATCAGAAACAACATTTTGCAGCAACTATAATAACAGCATGGGTTACAGCTCGGAAAACTTTACAAGTCATTTATTCAGCACACACAGTGTAGTGGGACCAGCACATCCTTATTTATTTAAACCACCTTTAAAACCACAACAGGAGTTTTGGGGAAACCTGAACTGGGTGAAAGTTTCTTTCTTGGGCACAATATAAAATGAACAACTGCACATGTGAATGAGGGGAAGGATGGGCATTTGCATGCATTTTCGATCACTATGTTGTAGACCAAATCTTCTAAGCTTCAACTGCCAAGATTCTGAAGGAAACAGGAAATTAATAAAACATCTCTCTCCTTCAGCTATTCTCCTTCTTATTAATGGCAGAAAGGGCTTGTTGATTGCTGCTAGTGAGAAGAAATACACAATGGGTCTATTTTTAGCAGAGGTGGCTTTGAAGGAGCAGGAGATATTAACAATTGCTTGGCTGCAATCTTAAGTTCCAAGGATCCTGGGCAAGAATATTAGCAGCTTGAGGGGTACCCGAAGGAACCCATCCAGGTGAACCAACTTGGGCTGATTGAGTGCAAGTCAGAGCAGAAGAAAGCAGACATACAATTATGGACTTAGGGTATGTATTCTGCTTGGACGCTCTCTGCATACTTTTCCTCATGTCCCAAAGCTTGTCCCGAGGGTACCCCAACTTCTGCATACTTCACCAGGCCAGGCCCTGACCCTGATGTCTAGGCATTGCTTTTGTTTATCCCTTAGCAAGACTTAGTCCTAAAGTTATGTATTGGTGCAGTGTGCGGATATTTTTTTAAAAGAAGTTTGATTTTTATCTCTTTAGAAACGGTTTGAAACTAACGGGGCAGAGGGAGTTTGACAGAGAGGAGAACAAATCGCTGACAAAGAACCTTTTACGTTTCATCAGCGTTGTTAGGACGACAAGCAGGAATGTCTCAGATAATAACTCCCACTTCAAAGATTTCTCAGCTCAATAGAAAGCGGACCATCCTTTTTATTCAACCACAAGGACTGGCACTAAAGAAGACTCCACTGTTTGATTTTTTTTTTTCACTGTGTTTATTTTTCCCCTATTCACTGGGGTACTTGGATAAAATAAACAACAAGACAATTAAGGGAACATGGACTTCTAACTTTCCTGCCATCTTCCCCATATCCCCTTGGCCTTGGGCTCTTGAGTTTGCATCTAGGACAAGTCCAGGCCTAAGGTACCACACACCCTGCCTTAGAAAGAAACAAGTTTGAGGGGCCGCAAGAGACTTATGGGATGGAGAGGAAGAAGAGTGGTAAGGAAAGCCAGAGTGGAAATGTCCCAAGGGCCACAGACTGAACTCCTCAGACTCCCCCAGGGTGGCTCCCTTCCCCACAAGTCCCCATTAAACTTAAGCCTCCATCCTACTCAAGAGTCAGAAAGGCGATTTGCACAAAACTGAGTTTGGAATGCTCATTTGTTAAGCTTCGGAGGCTGCTTTAAAATCTTTCACTCCTGATCCTGGAGCTCTTTGGTGCGCAGTCAAGATGCACAGAGTCCTTGTGCTCCTCCCTTTCCTGAAAGTGTCCCCTGCTCCAAAGCCTCCCACATCCGGGTGCAGGGTGAACCCCTAAACGCGGGCAAGTCGGGTTCTAGGAAGGAAGTATATACTGGAGAGCGCAGTGACAGTATTAAATGGCGTGAAAGCAAAGGTCAGCGCAAATGTATCTTAATAGAGTGTCTGTAGTGAAGTGTGCCGCCTTTGAAGCGGCCGCTCCCCGCGCGTATTTCCATGGCGAGCCTAACGCGGCATGCTGATGCACCGTCAAACTCACACTTTCAACCCCAAAACCCGACTCTTTGAACAACCCTAGCTTGATTAGACCTTTCTCCTTTTCTTTCCCCTCTTACAAACCATTTCCTCGCCTTTAGAAACTCGCCATCAAACCCAAATGCGCCCTCTGATCACCGCAGAAAGCAGAAACAAAGGGGGCTGAGCGGCGATTCAAGCGGCTCTTTTCTTCCTTCACATTATTATCCATTTTTATTATGATCGGGTACAAGTGCCCATTCGCGTGGGTTTTGTTTACCGGAAATTAAATGAAAATGATTTAGTCCGCGTCAAACAAAAATATATACTTGTATACACAAGAAAAAAGGTCTGTTAGACGTAAATATTATGTCCTTAATGAAAAGCCTGGACGGGCTCCAGGCTTGGCCTTTCAGGATTTCAGTGCGACTTGCCCATTGCCATAGAAATCCTAACTTACCATGAAGATGCACCGTGGCGAAGAAACACTGCTTTGTGCGCGGGCCCTTTGATGTAGCAGGCGCAAGATGCGGGGCGCTCAGCTGCGCGGAGCGAGATTACCTTGCGAGCAACGCAATGGACATCTGTAACAAGCAAATGAAAAATTAAAGGCGATTAGTGGCCGACCAAACATTTTTGTTTTGTTTCATTATTTTAGATTAGGATAGAAGGCAAAATGGGGGCGAGGGGCTTAGAAACAGAGGAGAAAGGAAGGAGTCCTACTTCAGGAAGGGGGACTTTTTAAACATAGGCAGAAGCAGTAAGTTCCGCAAATGCCCTCTGCACCTTAGTGGTGGGGTTGGCGTTTGACTATGGGAAAGAGTTGTTTGTTGCCAACTGCCCGCGCTGGGTCAGGCAGCCTCTGGGCCCTATTGTATTAGGGGGAGGCAGGAATTTCAGTCCCCCTTTCTCAAGGACGGATTCACTAAGGGTGTATTTGGAAGATGGCATTTTTTATTTGGAGTCAGGAAAATAGTTCCACTCCAGTTAGGACGTTATTTCATCTGATGAAAGTTGTGGGGACTGTGAGCAGGAGTGCTAATTGTCTAATGGTGTCTGAAGAGGAGAGAGCAGAAGAAAATTTATTAGTGGCAGGGCCAGGACTTGTTTGTTGGGCTCAGATTTTTAAATTGAGCTCTTTTGTGGGGCCCTCCCCAAAGAGAAAACCCACCTCCCTCCCCAACACACACACTGATTTTCAAATTCTTAGGGAACTGGGATGAATCTGCCATAGCTTTACTATTTTATTCTCTTTTACTTCTTCTTCAAATCGTAGCTAGGATTTTGGGGCAGCCCTATTCTCCCTGCAGAGGGGGGGAAGGGAGGGAAACAGGACCTGAGTTTTTTCCCTTTGGCAACAATTGCAAAGGTCTTTCTCGCCCCCTCCTTCAACATCTGGTTCTTTTTTTCTGCAGACTTCATACACAGCATATCAAATACACATTCCATCTAGACTCACTGGTTGTTTGCCTTTACAATATTTATTATTGTTGATCATTTCTCTAGTCTCTCCTACACTTTTTAAAAAATAAAACCAACATTGTGCAATTACTGACAAAGACCGTCACTGAATTGACGCGATTCACCCAGATACGGCCGCCTAGGTCAGGTCCCTCCACTTTAGAGGCCTCGACTCAGTGACGTCATCAGCTCGCTCTACACCCGGAGCCCAAGAACCTAGAAGACTTCACAGGCAACGCCTCTACAGGGGCTGGGGTGGGAAAAGGGCCCGGGGAGGCCTCACGGCATTGAATCCTGAAGCCTCTCTGGCGTTCCTTTGTCTGTATTTCTTGTTGTTTTGAATTGACTCGCCACCCCAAGTATACAATGTATATCGAGTCTGTGGACGACAGGCAGATATTTATCTGTGTGCCCAGGCCACTACATAGGGGTGGCAGCGTGTAACCACCACCCACACACCCCCTGCTGAAAAGACAATGAATCTCCCTTATCTCCTTTATAGAGGAGGTCGGAAAAATTAAGACTTGTGTATACTTTGTTTCAAAGGATACCTAGGGAAGGGGAAACCATAGGAAGGCAAAGAGGAAAGAAACTGGAGTCAAGAAAACGGCTCTGGAATTCCCTTTGCCGCCTTCTGTCGATCTGAACTTCCGAGGTTGGAATTAATGTGGGGGAGGGAAGTATTGGGAGGGGGGTGGGAGAGGCCCAGTTCTCGAGAAAATATTTCCCATCTTGCGAAGCATGCGGGAAATTTGTGGCTTTACTTTTGTCATCTGAAGTGGCCAGGATTGCACCTAAATTCTCCATTTTTTTTTTCCATCTCCCTGTCTCTTTTCACCCCTAACACTGGCTTTATGATAATCATGAAGGTGCGTGTAGGGGTAATGGTGCTGAGTGTGACTATAGAATAAATAGGGGGACCATATTTATCTTTTAAAATAATGGACATTATATTAGCGTATTCAGTGAGCTCTAGCAACTATTACAGGTGGCCGGCCTGCCTTCCTTCCTTCCGCCCTCTCCCTCTTCATGCCTCAGAAACGTGGCCTACTCTGCATCCGGTGTGTGCCGAAGCAGCAACCACAGAGGCAGCCCTAATACCGGAGGCGGCGGCGGCAGCAGCAGGGCCAGGTGGTAGCTCTTGGCTGAGGATCGCGGCGGGGGCAGCCGCGGTGGGGCCCAAGCCCTGACACACATACCATTCGCTCAAGTCGGCACTACGCGCCGCCACCGCCGCCGAGGAGGCCACCTGGGACTCGTGGCCGCAGTCTGACGAGGGCGACACGAGGGCAGACGGTGTAGCCGAATCGTAGCCAGAGCTGGGCGGCGGCGAGCGCCCGTGCACCTTCATGTGCTTACGCAGCGAGCTGGGGTGCGTGTAGCACTTGTCGCAGCCCCGCACCTTGCACGTGTATGGCTTGTCGCTAGTGTGCACGTGCGAATGCTTCTTGCGGTCGCTGCTGTTGGCGAAGCGCCGCTCACAGCCCTCGAACTCGCATCTGAAGGGCTTCTCGCCTGGCGGAGGCAACGCAGAGACATTAGTGCTCGCCACCCTCCCTCTCCCCCCAATTCGTCTCTCATTTTCTGGAAAAGAACTACAAAAGATTTTCAGAAATCTCTTTCCAGGTGCTCAGGTCGAGCACCCCTTTCCCTCGTGCAGAGAGCGCCCCCGGTGCACTCTCCTGAGCGCCTCCATCCCTCCCGTCTTCCTGGTCTGGGCTCAGGGGGAGGGTAGGGAGGAGGAGCGACAGTGACTCCATCTTAGTCGAGTTTTCATCCTCGAAAATCCTGATCCACTCTGATTGTTTCCTCCAAATTTTCTCCACTTGGAACCAGAAGCACCTCTGTTTGGAAATACATTAACGGAGGAGCTCACAATATAATTAACGGGGAAGCTCACATTTGCTCGATTTAAAGTTGCTGTTTCAGCCAAACGTCTCTGCCCCTACCCTGCCCAGCCTTTCATCGCCCCCCCCACCCCCAACTCCCATCCTGGCCCAAATTGTTTACTAAAGTAGGTTTTGCGCAAACGCCAAAGGGATGAAATAATTTAAGGATGCGCAGCCGATGCACATGATGTGTGCATAAAGTGGATTCGTGCTGCAGGGAAAGGTATTCTGAGCAATGATTCACTTCAGAGGAGATTTTTACAGGATGTGGCGCCCCCTCCCTCTTCCCTTCTACCCCCCGAGGGCAAACAGTTAGCAGCATTCTTCAAATCTTGCCTAAACCGTCCGGGATCCCTCCAGATACGCTCGCCAGCAATAATATTTTATTACGCTGCTCCAGAGGCCTCCCGGAGACCTTGCTGTGGGCAGCTGGCCCTCCCAGTCCGAACTGACTTGCGATGTCGACCAGTCTCCCTAGACCACCCCCACCTGGCTGTCGGGTCTCTCGGGCCTAAGACGAGGGGTTGGCGCAGTAGGGTCCGCACAGGCCGAGTGGGATCCGAGGTCTCTACCGCAACCACGCCCTTGAGCGCTGAGGCTTCGGGAAGAGAACAGCTGCAGCTGTCAGGGCAGGCCCGGCTCTGCAGACTGGAGGGCGACCGGGCGGCTGGGATAGGCCCGGGAGGGGCTGGGATCGGTGGCTGCGATGCCCTGTAGAGCCGAGGGAAGGCGCGAGTGCACGTTAGAGTGATAATATTGGCCGGACTGAGCCCCAATCGGGGAGCTCACGGCCACCTGAACTCGCTGACGTGTGGGAGAGGAAAGGATCCCGAGAATCCGGAAGCCTAGATTCCTGCCGGAGCTGCAAGTGTTGCGGAAATGGGGGAAGAAGGTTCCTGGGCGCTTTAAACAAATGGCTGCCTCCCAGCGCTCTGAGTTAAGGGACCGGCTACCTAGCGTCTAGCTGAGGAGGAAGACGCACAGTTGGAGAACTGCTGTCTTTGTAGTTGCTTCTCCCGCCGCATCCAGGAAAGACAGGCGCTTTCCTGGGGCTGGTTAGAACAAACAAAGCCCCAATTCCCGAGCCCTGTGGAGGCTCAGACAGAGAGGTTTGCGCACAATCCGCACTTCTGCGCAATCAGTGCCTCCTGAGCCCGGGTCTCCGGCACCACCTGGTTGCTGGATTCCCACCCTACAGGAGCACAGTTAGTACACTGAACCCTCTGGAAGGTGTTGGCACCTGCCATTTAGCGGAACACCGGCACCATTTTATGAAACAGTGAGAGAAAGATGCGGAATAAATCAGTGTTCCTATTTGCCCCTCGTTTTATCTCCTCTGATTCCTGCAGCATTTGCAAACCCAAACTTTCTTCCTTCTCTTTCAAAAACAAAACAAAACAAAACAAAAAAAACCTTACAAAAAAACCCGTACAATTCAGGGCCTGCAAAAGAGACCAAGGTTAGTTTGAGAAAACAGAGGTGAAATGGAATTTGAGGTTGGTGCCCCTCCCCAACAACCCCTCCCCGCCCCCGCGCCACAAAAATCCCGCCAAACGCTTATCCGATCTCGTGAGCGCCTCGCTGGACATTCACGTAAAACAAAAACAATTATTTCGCTCCAGACGAGGAGCAGAGGAGAAAACAGCAGTGCAATGAGTGATACCGGCAGCCGGGAAGTTCGCAGGCCCCTTGGAGGCCAGGTGAGGCTGCGCCCCAGCTTGCTCCGGAGCTGCAGGAGGCGCCCTGGTCTCCGCGCTTGACATCACCCCCGCCCCCCGCCAACTCCCGGCCTCCAGTCCTTCCCCCTCCCTCCAGCTCCCTGCACCGCGCCCTGGGTGGGTGGGTGAATGTGAAGAGGCAGCGTTGGGCTAGGCCCCTGCAGCCCGCTCGGAGCGTCCTAGGCCTGGGGCTGAGCTGTGAGAGACCCAGATTGCCATCCCAGAGGCTCCGTAGCCCGGAAAGGCCTCCTCTCCGACCCTGCGCCAGGTCCGCGGGACAAAGTTCGGAAGCTCGGGACAGCTGGGCCAGCGCCATTTTCTCGCACTTGTGGCTGGATCTGGTTGTCCCGGCGACTGCGCCCCGGCGCGGTCTCTTCTCCTCTACCTCGGATCCCCAGCACTGACTCGCCCTCAGACGCCAGGGAAGGTGTGACGAGCTCCCGGCCCCGGCCGAGGGGTCCCAGGAGAGAAGCTGGGTGGCGGTGGCCAGGCAGACCGCGGTAGCTGGCCTCGCCTCCCTCCTCGAGGCACCATTGTTCCGGGATCGCTGTGACCGCCGCAAAGTGAATGCTTTCGGTGCGGACAGTCGCCTTCAAAGCCAGGCCCAGGATTCAGGTCAGGGAGAATCTCAACTCCTGAGAAATTTGCTCCTGTTTGCCACTTCTGCGACTCGAGGAAATGAAACGCCATTAATATTTGAAAAGGCAATTATTTTCCTGTTGAATCGAGAACTGTCTTCATGAATAATTTGTACTGAGGTCTATTGCCATTTGAGAAACATTTTTTTTTCTCTCTCTCTCTCTCTATCTCACTCTCTCTCTCTCCTCTTTTTATTACTTAGGAGGCGGATTTGAGGGAAATGCTCGAGCAGGCCAGACTCTGTAGTTTGTTGTTGGTAGTGTGTGTTTTTGTTTGTTTGTTTTTGTTGTTCTCCCCCCCCCCCCCACCGGGAATGAATCAGGGGAGCCGAAAGAACGCACAAAATTCTGTCCTGAAAAGACGAAAACCTGAGCCAGCCGCGGCGCACTGAACTTGCTTCTCTGCTGTAGGTCGACTGTGCTAAGAATTTAACCATTTTCTGCTTCACAGACTTCAAACAGTGGGCCGGCAAAGAGCTGTAAAAGTTTGTTTGTTTTAAAAAACAACAACTCTGCCATTAAAGATGAGTTCCTTCTCCAGCTCAGGACTGCGAATCTACCTTCCGGGTGTCCGCCGCCAGCTCCCGGAGTAGCAGGCCTGGGACCAGGATTTGAGAGTGACCTACCGCCCCTTCCCGGAGCTAAAACTTCGGGTGAGGGGGTGAGATCCTTGCGACATTGTGGGAAACCCTGAGAAGAGCTCAGGGAAACTGTACACTTTCAGACACGCTTTAGAAATAAAGTGCCAGGTTCCAAGTGGACTTTGGTCTGGTCTCCGCGTGTGCCAGTGTCCGGGCCATGGACCTTCCCCGGGAAGGGAGAGTTTGGGGAGAAGACAGGCTTTAGCACAACTAGCCTTAGTCAGTTCTTTGACTCCAGCAATTGTCGACGTTCCAGCAAGAATAGGGGCGAGTAAGGTAAGGCACCGGGCAGTAGGAGAAGTGGGGCACCAAGCTGGAATTTATTTTATTTTCTCCTGTCCCCACTAGTCCCTTTCTCCTGCCCCCAAAATGGGGGAGGGGAGAAGATGTTGATTTCTTAAACTTCCAGGGAGGAGGAGCGAGAAAAGCCTAACTAAGGAGAGTACAAACAATGGCTGCTAAACTAATTAATGTAACTTCACAGGCTATCCTGAAAGTGTGAAAACTTTCTCCTTGCAGTTGCATTAATTAGAGATGCTCTGGCCAGAGGAGTTCAATTTTGCAGGCTCTTAAACGGGACTCCTTTTTTTCTGTTAACTAGAAATAGCAGATGTAGTTGACACATGTCCCCATTTCCCTTAACAACTTGGTAAATGATATTTAAGGTGGCTAGGTCCCGTTAGGTCTGTGCTAAAGCAAAAGTGAGGGTTCACCAAACATCCCTAGTGTCTGGCCACCAAGGCTCAAAAATAGGTACAAAGTTAGCCCATTCGACTCCCAACTCCTAAAGAAGGCTCCAGGGCCTGGTAAACCCTCAGACCAGGTGGGCCAGGTTATCAGGACGACAGGTGGAAGAGTTCTGCCCTGCAATTCCAAAGGGACCAGGAAAAAAGTTAGACAGCTGTTCTTATGTCTTTACGACTTTGGGGAACAATGCTGTTTTTAAATATCTCAAAATCAAACTCTTAAGCAGAGATCACATGTCTGCACACACAGGGTCTTAGGCACGTTCACCCTTGTCCCCCCAGAACGGAAATCCCGCACTATCCTTCCTACACACAGCCTCCGGAAACTTCTGTGATTCTAAGAATAGAAGCGCATAATTAATATTTTATGGCCTTGGCTCATGGTAACAACACCGAAACATCTTCCCCCTCCCCTCAGTTGGGACTTGAGGAAATCCAGACCCGAGGGCCTGCTTCCCCAGAGGGTCCGCACGCGACAGACAGCGCCGAATACTGACCTGTGTGAGTTCGTTTGTGTATTTTGAGATTTTCTGATCTAGCAAAGACCTTCCCACACCCCGGGAAAGGACAAGGGAAGGGCTTCTCGCCCGTGTGCACGCGGATGTGATTTACAAGTTTGTATTTGGCTTTGAAGGGCTTGCCCTGGCGCGGACACTCCTCCCAGAAGCAAATGTGGTTGGCCTGCTCCGGGCCGCCGACGTGCTCCACGGTGACGTGCGTGACCAGCTCGTGCATGGTGCTGAAAGTTTTGGAGCAGAGGCTCGGGGGCGCGGTGCCGTCGGCCGCCAGCCACTTGCAGATGAGCTCCTGTTTGATGGGCTGGCGCATGTAGCGGAAGAAAGCGCCAGGACCGTGGGGCGCAGCGAGGTTCACCGTCAGGTTCATGCCCCCGTAGCCATGTAGAGCTGCGGCAGCTGCCAGGGCGTCGCTGCGGGCCGCAGGCCCTGGCGGGAAGGGTTCTGGCCGCGCGTACATGTCTCCAGGGAGCCCCAGACGCAGGAGTCCATTCAAAGGATGGCTGGGGGAGGCCTGGGGAGGCTCCTCATGGAGGCCCGGGAACACCGAGGGGCTGGAGGCGGCGGCGAGCTGGGGGCCATGGTGTCCAGAGCTGCTACCTGTTGTCGAAACAAATAGCACGCATGAGAACCGGTGGGGTGGGCTGCGCGCTCTTCCCTGGGCCCCGGGGGGCAGGCCCAGCCCAGACGCACTACGGACTCTGCAGTCAGCCGTGGAACTCAGAGCCAGACCGCGCCAGCAGTGAACCCGGTGGACAGAGCAAGGCCAAACACCTCCGCCGCGGTTGGACCGGATTGCTGTTCGGCCAGGTCCCCTGCAGTGCCATGAGCTGGAGAGGGATGGTAGCCGCACAGTAGATGTAAGGGGTAATGGAAGGCGCAGGGCTGAGTCTGTGGGTTGCTGGGGGTTCTGCTCCAGAGGGGTAGGACCTGAGCCCCAAGCGCACTTTGGCAGCCAACACCCCGGGGCGCTCCGGGGCACGGTGCCCTGCCGGGGAGTGGAGGTGATAGAAATGATGGTGTTGGAGGTGGTGGTGGTTCGGAAGCGCCCCAGCCATATATATTTTCAGTGCCCCACTTGGCTAGGAGAGAGCGACCGGCTGCATGCCGGCCCAGGTTCCCCGGAGCTCCCTGTACCGGGCCACTAACACCACTGCCACCTGACAGTGGGGAGGGGAAAGGAAAACCACACAAAAAACTTCTGTAAAGTTTTTTCGTTCTTTCTTTCTTTCTTTCTCTCCTTCTTCTCAAGGTTTGGATTTGGGCGCGCCTACCCCCTTGGCTATTAATGCCTACGCGAAATCCTGCACACTACAGAAGTAGCAGCAGGGCGCGTTAGGAAGTCAATAGAGATTCAGGGCTGTGGCCGGGACCCACAGAGAGGAACAATTGCCTGGGTCGCCCATTGGCCAGCGGCTGGGTCCTACGTCAGTGATGACAGGTCCTGCCGCACGCGGACGGTCTCTCTCTCTCTCTCACTTCCTCGCTCCACCCCCAACCCCCTCACACACCTCTCCCTCAAACACACACCCTCCTTCCCTCCCTCACCCCACCCCCACAGCATCTCAAGCTTCTACTGCTCATGCGCTCTGACCTGGGCACAAATCCTTTTCTCTCCCCTTGAGCCTCCTCCCCCTCCTCTCCGGAAAGCTGAGTGCATCAGTTTTGACTCAGGACTCCTGGAAGTACTCGGGACTGGGTTATGCCACCCTTCACCACAACTTTGGGGAGGGAGCATTGCGCTGCGCCTAAAGTCCTCTCGGGACCTCAGTCGGGGCTGATGGCTAGCATAGTGTGCGCAGAGATGGCAGTCTGGTTGGGCAGTTTGTCCCTGTAGACTGCAAGAGGAGGGGGTCGGGATCGAAGGACCAAAGGAAACTGCTGACTCGGGGGCCAGGAGCTGAGAAACTCCTAGGCTAGCAGTCGTTGAGCCTAATTTTATTTTTTGGCTTTCTCAGAAATGTCTCGTTTCCCTCATCTTTCGGGTTCTTTTCGTCTCTCTTATTTTCCCCAAACCCTCTACCTCACTTCGTCTTCCTTGCTTCTCCCCTCCCCCTCTCTTTCCTCTATACTCTCTTCCCATTTAGCCCTGCAGGCCCCTCCTCCCCGGTGTTGGAGAGCTCAAAGACGCGCGATACCCAAGGATCTGGCCCTTACCAGGGACAGGATTAAGCGGGAAGTGGTGACGGCCTGGAAAGGCTGGGCTCGAACCCATGCCTTCCTGAAAGGACCCGCCCCGCCACAAGTCACACCCACCGGCGGGCCGGCTTTCCAAAGAAACAAAGGAGTCGGGCGTGCATCCAGGAGAAACAGGTTTTCGCTCCGGAATCTCCCTGGGCCAATCAGGGATGCTGAGCGCTATACCCTGCAGTCGTAAGGAGCCTCTGGGAAAGGGGATTTAAGGGTGACTTCCACTTTCAGCTTCGGCTACTTGTTGCCTGCGGTCCAAGCTGCCTCTGCTTCCTCCTAGCTCGTCTTAGGCCTCTCTAGAGAGTGCACGCCGCGTTTCCCCGTTCAGGCTCTGAGAGAGCCTGCAGGCTGCCTCCCACAAGATGCCCTCCAGTGCTAGGGGGGCCACTTTGGTGCGATGGGGGTCGATCGGTTGAAAAAAACTTAAGTTCTGGCCCAGTCGAGTGTGGCAAAAGCCGAGAGGCGGGGGATTGGGGGGCTTTGGGGGCAGGAGGGTGTCCTTTGTCTGAGCGGACCGGCTAAGGTCAGCTGCGTCGTCCGGGGATTTAAAGGGCTGCTGGCCCGGACTCCTACCTTGTCGCTGCAGCCGAAAATGCCAGCCTAAGTGCTTGGACTTCCCTGGCGGCCATAAATAGTGCCCCCCAAACAGAGAAAGGCTTGTATTTTTAAGAAAAGTTTTAAAGATTGAGTAAAATATCCCATACCCCTTAGCAGAGGCTAGAAGTTCCGGCAGATTACCAGCAACGCTGAATAGAAATGGAATGAATTGCCCCTCCCCCTATCCCCAGCACCAAGGACTATTCTTTTACATTTCCTGGTTGGTAAATAAGGGTTAAAAAAAATTTTTTTTTAAATAATTAACTGATGTATAACAGTTGGCAGATTCTTTGAGACCTTCATTTAATACATTGTTCCTCCCCTGGGTGCACTTTAGGGAGGGATTAACTTCCACAACAATTTCTCTCCACTTAGACACGTCCAAGTCTTTCTGCTCCTCCTACAGGAAGAGCTTAGATAACTCTACCAATAGATACTCTGTCAGTATTAAAAACAAAACAAAACAAAAAACAGAAGAGTATTTGACTGCCAGACCCCCACTCCCTACTCTCAAAACCAAGGGCTTCCACACAGCAGTTTTGAGACCAGACTCTCAGAATATGCCTCCCTGGCTTTCACCTTCTCTCATGGTTTACTCCTCCACCAACAGCCACCAAGTCTCTGATCCTTCCCCTGTCTTCCCTTCATCCAAGCAGTGGTGTGGCCAGGTTTCCAGCGAAAGGTTTCCACATCTCAATGAGTCATTTCACATCTCCCCACCTCACAGGTGTATGTTGAATGATGCAATTGTCTAGGCAACTCTGGACTGAACCCATGAAGGGCTCCAAAAAGCAAAACAAAAGCCAGAGTGTGTTCTTCTCTGAAACTCCTTGCCCAGCTGTTTTTACTATCCACATCGTAACACCGAATGTATTCAGCTTCTGTGGTATTTAGGTTTAAGTGCAGGGGCACTTCTGCAATTGTCTGGCAATTAAAATATTTTTTCTTCCCTGGAACCTAGGTAATCTACAACTAACAATTCAGAATGTTCGTCAAACTCATTCACTTTAGCTTTAAGACTCTGATTTGCACAAACATGGATTTTTTTCTTTCTTTCTTTTTTTTAGAGAGAGTCTCGCTCTGTCACCCAGGCTGCAGTGCAATGGCATGATCTCGGCTCACTGTAACCTCTGCCTCCCAGGTTCAAGTGATTATTCCACCTCAGCCTCCCAAGTAGCTGGGATTACAGGCACCCAACATCATGCCCAGCTAATTTTTGTATTTTTAGTAGACACGGGGTTTCACTATGTTAGCCAGGCTGGTCTTGAATTCTTGACCTCAGGTGATCTGCCCGCTTCGGCCTCCCAAAGTGCTGGGATTACAGGTGTGAGCCACTGCACCCACCGGATTTCTTAATATATACACTGTGACCCCACCTCCATCAAAAGCTTTGAATAACAGTATGGACAGACAGGAGAAGAAGGGATTTTGGTTGTTTGAGGCTGTGGAACCCTTAGGAAGCTTGGTGAGTCTGTTGAACTCCTAATAGTCCAGTATTTGCTGCACATATTCATCATAGAAGAAAACACTAACTTTCTAATAGAAGGTTGTGAAAATAAAGATGCGTTTTTTTCTCATTCAAGTTTATGGGCCCTCTGGAGTTCTAACCACTGACTCTCTGGACTCCAGGGATAAGAAACAGAGGTTTTATACACATAGTCTGCTAGCATACTACACACTCTCTGTTAGTCACTTTGCCTTTGAAAAGCTTTGAACTTGTGTATGACTTTTTTGTGCCAGCAGCAAAAGGGCAAACATATCTGATTCAGCCAAAATCATGGAGAGTAGGCTGGCCCCATGGAGCTCCTTCCCAGATGCAGCTTTCTCTTGAAAGCTGAAAACATCTGGACCTATTTTGGGTAGCTGCTTCTTGCTTGAGTAGCCAGGGGTCAGTAGGCCTGCAGGTCACTGAGATTGCCTGATCTTTGGAAGTTCCTTAGAGGCATATGGTCTATATCTTGGTTGGCTAAACCCAGCAACGGGACCAGACATTATCCTAGAAGGGCATTTCCCCAGAGACAGCAATAAGGGAAAACCAATTGTACAACTAATATTTACAGACAAGGAACTTTGGGCAATTACATAAGGGTCTTCAAGGTCTATCTTTGAAATAAGCTCCAAAGCAGTATCCAGTTAAAGGTGATAGGGCATCAACATCTGAGAGGCAGAGTGTAGTCTTTAGAGAGATTATTTTGAGTCTTCCAGAGCCTGGGAAGCAGGGAACCCAGGCTACAGATATCATCAATTGAGCAGGCTAAGGAATGGTGTCTCCTCAGTGGTCTTCAGATTTTTTTTTTTTTCCAGAAACATCTCACTATACATGTCCCCAACACCCAATGCTTGACTGACACATTCTATTCCTACCCATGCCTGAAGCTATAGCATTGTTAAGTCTACTCTTCTGTTTCATTTGTAGAGAAAAAGAATATCTCACAACCCACAGATCTTTAGCAGATGTCAAAATGAAGCACTGGGAGCTTGTTTTCATGGGGACCTATTTGGAGCGTATTCCATCACTAGACCCCAAATATCTCTCAGTCTTCAGAGCCTCTGCAAACCAGTGCCCAGAATCATGCCCTAAGCACTTTTGCTCACCCTACCCAGACAAATATAATGGCATAAACAAGTGATTTCCTAGTTCTACTTTCTAGAAATAGAACATTCGGTGGCCCTAGCATCTGCCAGAGCTCCTTAAATCGCTGGTTTGAATGTCTGATCTCACTCTCTTGCAAAGGAAAAAAAAAAAAAAGGAGGATATTTCAAATCAACAGCTCGGCTATTTTTCCATTTTAATGTTTTAAGCAATGCTAAATTAAATGATGATTATTAGTTGTAAGTTATGCCCAGATCAGCAGCTGGGCCCTACTCAGCTGAGGGCCACTGTATAGAACCTGGCTAGAAACAAGTCTTGTCATTTAAATGTTCTGCATCTGAATCAATTGTCACTTGTTCAGTTCTTTCTTCCCTGTTTCTGTCCAGTTGCAATCCTAAACAGAGGTAAATTTCTTTAAAGACTAGTCACAGACAGACTTCAAGATTCCTACAGAGGGAGGTTGTCTCTATTTTTATGCAAAGAAATAACTTAAGCCCCAGGAGCCCATCCATATTTCTAAGCCCAAATTGTGCAAAGGAGATGAGATCTATTAGGATTTTGGCAATAAAGGAGGATATTCTTCTCCTCTGCTATGGAAATTTGAGTTTTAAACATCATTAATGGAACTGAGTATGGAAGAAAATATGCTTGGATTGGCTTTAATTTCCAAGCAAGGATTCTACAAAGCATCCTGTGACAAAAGCTTAGGAAACATTGCTTTTGGATCTTCCAAAACAGCATTAAAGAATCGAAATAACTGAATTTACATAATAATTCATACCTCTCTTGAGACTTTTGCCATCAAATCATCCCCAAATAATATAGAGAGCCATTTCCTGAGTTGTCTATTTGACTTTGGTTAAGAAGGTTCCTTTGCCTACCAATGAGGGAACATCTTTGGAGGCAACCATCAGCTAGTGATATAGTTGAAATGAGGAAAACTAGACGCCTGGAAGGGAAAACACCCAACCCTAAATCATATGCTTATTCTAAATGGAATATTAAATTAAATTCTTCACAATGAAGGTATTCCTGACAGAGCAGCTGTCAGTCACTCCCTGGTCAGACACCACATTGTGGGAACCTCGTCGCTACCACATTGCACAAGACTGGTATCCCTGGTAAAGATGATGTATATCATGTAAACCCCATCATCCAGATCAAAGTCTGCTTCTTTCATGGAAGCCAATACATGTCAAACCTCATTCCAATCAAATTGTCTGGAAATGAATTCAAGATGAATATGTCATAGAATAACGTGACAGTGGAATTGCAGAAGGTCAGGGGTGGTTGTTTCAATGAGAGAATCGTCAAATATTAATTCTGGAACGTCCAGATGAGTAGGCATTGAGGGGGATTAGCCGGCTGCTGGTGGGACGTTATGTCATTGATTTGTGTGCAAATGTATTGAACACCAAGGTGTTCTAAGTTTCATTTGAACTCAAGAAACTCGACCCAAACTCTCAACCCAACATAAACGAAAGACAAAACAAAACTTCCTACTTAAAAAAAAAAAAAAGAAAAGAAAGAAGAAGAAAAGAAACTAGCAAACCAATATTCAAAGGAGGATTTTAACTTACTTGACTCTTTCAGAGTGTTTCGGTAAAGCCGTAATCGTTTCCTCATCACCAAGGATGTCTTGTATCTCATTTTCTGACTTTGAGCCTGTTTGGGAAGAAAAGAGTGACAGTCACTAGTTAAACAATTTTATACATCTGTGTGGCAACATTCTGTGGCTTGAATGTATGAACGAAAGAAGGTGTTGATCTGAAGATCCTTCGGTCTTTCTTTGATCATTTTCAAATTTTGAAGCTAAAGAAAAGGATTCTGCCGGGAACTGCCCATTTTGCAAAATAATGTATCTTTGGTGATAAAAACATTGAAAAATTATAATTTCCCAGCTAGGTTTTTATTTGAAACTCCTTTCTTGTTCTGCCTTGCAATCAGAAGTAAGCTCTCTTTTAGTCAGTGCTCAAAAATCTGTAGCTTCTCGAATTTGAATTAATTGTATAAGAAATCTTATTATTTTTCTGAAGTTTATTAACTGAAATTTAGTGAGGTGTGGTGGGGAGAGTCTACTGAACTCTGAGGTTAGCAGTTAAAATTTGATTTATAACTGTTGGAACCAAGAAGAGAGGAATGTCTTTGCAGGTTTTCAAATCCTGCTTTGCCTGTGGTGGTGCAGAATTCCTTAGCCTCACATTTCCCACACCCCAGACCCATTTGGGATTCATCACCGGTTGACTTTTTAAAGTTAATATAAAATTTGTCAGATTAAAAAGGTATAATTTTAATCATTTGGTTCAAATCATCCACATTTCATATTTGAGAAGGGTAAAAATAACACCTCCCATAAGATGTACACATTACTTATCAGATTCACTTTGCAGTTAAAACTACCAAGCCATTGGCCGCCTTAAATACTTAAAGCCATCCTGAGGACCTCTGCATCCTGTCAGGCAAGACTGAGGCAGTTGAGCAGCCAAACAGAAGCATCTACCCGGCCCCCACCCTCAATTTGGCCTAGAAAGAAAAACAGTCATTGAAAAGGTCTCAGGCTGGACAAACACAGCAAGTCCTCTGTCAATGGGGATGTCTGCCCACAGAACAAGCAGTTGTTTAACTTGTTGAACCACAGGCCAAATCCAAGTGGGACTCTGTTATCTTAAAGGGTATCCAGTTCTCTGTGCACAAAGATCTCTCTCTCTCTCCCCCTCAACCTCCAACAAGAATTCCAACTAGCTTGGCAGCTTTTACCTTTCTATCTCCCCTCTTTTCTAGGTCCAGGCCTGGGAGGCAGGGGGGTAGACTCACCTTTTCCCAGAGGGTATTATTATTTTCAATTATTTCTAACCAAAAGGCATTCTTCCCCAAAGGTAATAAGCTCCTTCCAGTGCAAATCAGGAAAGAAAGGAGGCCTAACTTTGCATTCCTACAGAAGGGCGGCATGCTGGGCGTCCTCGCTCTGAAATTTCCTCATGGCAGGATGTCTGGCATGGAGAAGTCCTGGTTGGTTGGCAACAATAGAATTTACTCTTTTGCTTCTGGGGGAAATGGGTGTGAGGTTCCCTAGAGATCTCTGTCCACCCATAAGGCTGCTCCAACCCAACTTCTAAGAGGTATGGATCACTTCTGCTCCAGGTCTTGTCAGCCTTTTGTGCACTGCAGACCCATAGACACGTAAACAAATGTTGCAGAGGTCGGGCTAGGGCAGGCAACTGGGACCTTAGGAGTCTCTCTGTAGCATTTCCATCACCCAGCCTACACAGGGAACCAGGGTAAACATCTCCTTTCGTGCAAACTCTGACACCGCTTAGCAAACAAGCCAGTCATCTTGCTGAAGGAGAGGTGAGAAAATTTGGGAGCAATCCTGAGGCCCCTGGACCTGAGGTCTCAAACAACCACGGAATATAGAAACTCAGTTTCGTTTTCCCCAAAGGCTTGCTCCCCACGTCAACCACGGCCTCCTAATTACCAGTCCATAGCACATCCTGGAGACTTTTTGGAATCTGCCCTTCTGCCCCCACCTTGAGAAGAGGAACTGGTGCCTGGGAGCTCCAGTGATTGATAGTGCCGGAGGAGAGCCAAAAAGGTGGGACAGTGGGTAGGTGCAAAAAGCACCATTTTTATTTGGGGGAGCCTCGGAAGCTGCAAGTTGTGGGGCCGACCTAGCCGGCGCAGGACTACCCAAGGTCAGAGGTCAGCTGCAGTTAGAGACTTCAGTTCCCGAGCTGCTGCTTACTGATTAGCCGGCAGCGGGAAAGGCATGCCCACCTCTCCGCTGTAACTTGTCGCTGGCGGGCGCAGAGCAAAAACCCTGAAAGCTGGCTGGGAGCTCCAAGCCAGAGAGGAAACTGACCTCGGCCTTTGCCCACTGCCTGATTTCCCCATCTGCACCCCGCACCTTCCTGGCTTCCCTCCATTCGACCCTCAAGCGCCAGGAGTTTGCTGAGACTGGATTGTGCAGGGGCTTTTACTCATTCTCCTATTCTCTAGAGGGAGAAGCTTGGGTTTCCCAGCTCAGGGCTGAAGTAAGTGTGGGCAGCCTCCGGGTGCCCAGAATAGAGTTTGTATCAGTAGATCACCTGCAGGATCAGGCTTGGCATTTAGCCCTCCTTTTGAATCACCCCTCCCCCAACCTGCAGGCGGGTAAGATAGGAGAAAGAAGAGCGGGGTGCAGTGGTGTGGGTCGCTGCCAGGCCAATACTGTCGGAAAGCGGGGAAAACATAACCTTGGAATCCAAAGAGAGTTTCCTGAAGACGGTGACGGTCGAAGTGCAACCCTCCAAAGTCTCCCCGCTTTCCTAAGACTTTGCAATGGGCCATCCATCAGCCCCAACTTTCAGGTCCAACCTTTGAGCCAGTCCTAGCTTTCTTTCACAGCTCAGCTCTGTTTCCTCCTCACTTGCCCCTAATTTCCAATGTCCCTGGGCCTAGACTAGGGGCCAGAATCCTAGGAGCTGCGGCCTGCTCCCCAGAGAGCTAGTTGCTGCTCTTGTTCGCACTGGAGATAAAGAAAGCCAAGTCCCGAACCCACTGCTGGCCGCGCGCAGAGAGCAGATCCCAGCAGTCAGCTTCCTGAGGCAGGACCAGGATGAGGGAGGGCTAGGAGCCGCCCGGAGGTGACTCAGGCGGCATCTGCCGTCAGGTTGGGGCGGAGAAGTTCCGTCGTCTTGCTGCCATCTGGGCTAACTTGGCTCTTTGACCCTGGAGAGGGGAAGCAGAGACCCTCCTAGCCATCCCCTTGGGGGCAGAGCAGAGATACCGCCTGTAAAGCCCCCCTCCCGGCACCCGCCTTGTTCATTTTTCGCGAGGGAAGCTCTGGGCCACGACTTCCATTCTTGTGCCCACGGTGGGGCACCCAGGCAATTTACAAGGAGAGAAGGGAAGACAGGCAGGCAACAAACTGCTCCTGGTTCCTGTACCAGTGGGAGCCCCATTTGTCCCCCTTTTCACTCCTCCTGGGAAGAAGGGATGGACTCATCCTCGGCGCTGCCCCTTTGCAGAAGGGCCCCCCTCCTCCCCTCATTGTCAGTGGGGTGGGGCCTGTATCCACGGTTGTGGGTGGGGGATGAAGGAGGAGATGGGGCAGAAAGACTGGCTGGGCCTCTTCCCCCACTGGGGTTTGGGTGCCAGTGGCCCGCTTGAGGGCACTTGCTACCCGGTCGCTGGAGGTACAGGTCTCATCTGTCTGCCCCCTGGACTCACGCACTTACCCCACTCCACCTGTTGCCAGGATCGCCTCATTTCTGCACATCATTTCGGGGTGGCTGAGAGGGGACCACAAACCCCTCCAAGCCTCTCTTTTGTGGTTCCAGCGAGGCGGTCATCCTTCATTTCTCCTTTTCCAGCTTTCGGGAAGCAGTTAGGGAATGTATGATGAAGCAGAAATGAGCCGTCAGGATGATATTTTAATGGCTTATATGTCACGTTGGTGCATGTGGCTTTGAACTGGAGCCGCTCGCGTTTCCTGCAGAGAGCGCCGCAAATCCCACTTGATAACTTCTACAACCCACAACTTTTTTTTTTTTTTTCTCACATTCACTCTTACCCCTGTGTATTTGGATGTGTTTCCTAAAAATATCCTCTTGTAAACGTCCCCGTTGGATTTTCCACAGACTGGAGAGGAGAAGACTGACTTTTCTTTTTTGAAGAATTATTTTCCCTCTCCCCCTCCCAACAGCTACCCTTCCCCCTTAGGTCCCCTCCCTTGTTGTGTGTGTGTGTGCGCGCGCGCGCGTGTGTTTCCTGAAAGGCGGACGAGGTGGGTTCAATATATGTTCTCCCTAGTGAGAGGAATACAGCCTCTAGAGAAAACTTCTTGCAGATGAGGTTTTCTCAACTCCAGGGGAAGTAGGATCCAACTTCCCCTTGTAGGTAGAAAGACTTAGTTGCTCCGATATATCTTTTTTTTTTTTTTTTTTCTAACGAAGTGTATAATAATTTTTGAAAATGCCTCAGTCCTTTCCTTACCTCCACTCCTCATTCCATTCCACTCAAAGTTGGTGGGAAATGCTGGGCTGCTAGACTCAGACTTGTTGATGGGAACAGGACAATTTTTTTTTTTTTTTCTCGAATTTCTATTTCCCAGCACAAGCACAAATGCTCAGTCAGGTCCCTTCAGGCACCGGGAAATCATCTCGGATACCCAAGCCGACTTTTGAGCAAGCACAGCCCATGGAAAGGGCAGTCCGGCCGGCCAGCCCCAAGCGAGAATCTAGTCGGTGAGAAGACCAGAAAACCAGAAAGGCGAGGAGCGGCGGACGCTGACCCTGCCTTCCTCCAGCCGGTGCAGTCAGCGCTGGCGTCAGGGCAAAAAATATATTCATTTTCATTTTCCTCTCGCTGGGGCACTGGTGAGTTTCCTAACCGGGCCGCCTGTGAAAGGATGAGTTGAGGTTTCTTTGTCTGGAAAAAGAGTTTAGGGCTTTGATTCAGCTGCAAAGAAGCCAAATGAAGTTAGAAACAAAGGGTAAATTGAAGGATTCCGACTCTTGGCTTTTTGTGTTTTCCTTACTAGAAAATAATTAGACCTAATGAATATGCAGACGCTTCAGCTAAACCCTCGGCCAGGACTGTTGGGTTTTAAACAGAGCTGCGGAGAAATGCAACCTTCATCCCCACAACCCCCCGCATCCGCGTGCATTTTTTGAAATGCATAAATGTTGCTCGGCTTAATTGATTGAGTCACAGGGATTTTTTTTTTTTCCTGCTTTTAAGTACCATACTCCCCTACCTTTCAACAATCATTTTAATATATAGTCAATGGCTCTTTGTGGAAGGGACAAAAAGAAACTACGCGCAGTTGTTGAATAGACTTTGCGCTAGGCAAAGACAGGTTAATCGAGGGCCGCATCGCGAAAACAAGCGAGTGTTGTATGTTTGCACTGAATCCAAATGTCTGCATTTTCCTAACTAAATCAAAGGGAGTGTTATTTCTTTTTCTGCTCACTCATCTGAAGGTAAGTAAATTTTCTCTGGCGATCAAAAGCCTGGTCGGCAACAAAGACCGCGCCCGCTTTTTCCACCGTCCTGGTGTGGCGAGTTGCGGAATTTCAATAACTGTGACAAGGGTGACTGATTTGTGAACTAGAAAAGGTTTGAATGTCACAAAATTTACATTGGTCCTATCTACTGGGGATTTAAATACCAAAAAAGTATTCGGGGATCTCTAGGGAGCTTTGGGCAGCCCAAGGGAACAATGGCGCATTGGGAAATTTACAGTTTTACCTGAATGAAAGGGGCCCAAGTAGGGAACAGGAGTGAGGAGAGACAGGGTTAGCGGGGGCAGTCGAAGGAGACAACGGAAAGGGAGAAAAGAGAAAAATAATGCAAGACAGGGAAAAAGTAAAGGAAACTGACAACAACATTTCAAATTTGCCATTAAAAAACTCAAACCTCAATAACCTGGGAACTTAAGCGTTCATCCACCTGTGTGTGTGAATGTGAGTGTGTGTGTGTGTTTTGGGAGGGGGTGCGGTGGTGCAGGAAGCCTGATTAGATAAAAGCGAGAAATACAGAGGCTACCGGTTACACTGAGAAATTACGTTTCTTGTAAAGAGAGCATAGTGCCCGTGTGCTCCCAAGATCTTAAATTATAAACAGGAGGGGGACCAAGCAAGAGGGAAACAAACTTCAAAAGGAGCAAATAACAAAAGCCTCTTTTGCTGCCCTTGAAGCGGGGGGGAAGGGGGAAGAAAGAAAAGAAAGTTGCTGAATCGGGACATTCTGGAAGTGCCTTTGCTGTGTTTACCAGCCCCATCCCCGCCTCCTGCACCCGGAGACGTCCGAAATCTCTAATCGCTCAGCGAAGAGTAGGTTTCGGGAAGGGCCGCGCGGGGGTGGTGGCGGCAAGGGAGAAGGAGGAATGTATATGACTGTGAGAAGGAAAAGAAATCGTGGCAAAAAAAAAAAAAAAAGAAAAAGAAAAGAAAAGAAAAAAGAAAAAAAGGAAAGAAAAAAAAATTTCCGTGAAAAGAGGGAAAAAATTTGGCTAAAAAAAAAGTTGCTACTCCTGGCAGCCCCGGTTTGTCAAAAGGGGATGTCAAGCGCTTTACAATACCTGGGATTGATGAGGCGGGCGGGCCAATGAGCTGCGCGCGGCGCCTCGGCGCGCCCTCCGTTGGCGCGGCAGCTGCGGGCGGGGGGAGTGCAAACGCACCAATGGGCGCCAGCGTCGGCAGCACGTGACACCTCCCCCTGCTCCCATTCATCAAGGGGGGGACGGTGTCGTCCTTTCAATTCATTTATCTGCAGGAATGATTGCTGCTATCAGTCTCGCGCTCACCGCCCGGCTGAGGAGGTGAAAGTTTCTCCCCAGGAAGATAAACCGCAAAAGACAATATTGTGCATGATTTGCGCCTTTTCTTTGGCTTTTTCTTTCTTTCTTCTCCCCCCACCCACTTTTTTTTTTTTTTTTTTTTTTTTTTTTTTGCAAAAAGCAGAGAGGGAAAAAAGGAGAGTGAAGGAGCGAGGAGGCGAGCGTGAGAGAAAGGAGAGAGAGAGAAAAGAAAGAGCGAGGGGCTAGTGGAGAAGTGAGGAGGGGCGCGCGGCGCAAGGCGGAGAGAGAGCGAAGCTGTCGCGGCTCTGGCGCTCACATTCCTCTATGCTACAAATCCAGGAGGAAGTTTTTTTGGGGGGCTGAGATGCTCCATGCCTTTCCCCGGGCAGCCTTGACGCGCGGCCCTCCCGGCAGAGACTAAGCGGCGAGAAAGTGCGAGCTGGGCCGGCAGGGTCTGCCTGGCGGGCGCTAGAGCCTGTCTTACTCGCGGCCCGCAGCCGTCCGGCTACTTTGCGTTTGGCCGGGCCAACGCCCGGGCGCGCCGCGCCGTTGCCTGCAGGCTAGGACTTCGCGAGGTGGGTCGACTCCCCCTCCCTCCTCCTCTTCTTCCTCTTCTTCCTCCTCCTCTTGTTCCTCCTCCTCCTCCTCCCGATTTTCCCTCCTCGGCTGGCGAGGGTGGGGGGGGCGGGGGAGGCCGGGGCTCGCCCCGAGCAGCCACGATGCTCCTGGACGCCGGCCCCCAGTACCCAGCGATCGGCGTGACCACCTTTGGCGCGTCCCGCCACCACTCCGCGGGCGACGTGGCCGAACGAGACGTGGGCCTGGGCATCAACCCGTTCGCCGACGGCATGGGCGCCTTCAAGCTCAACCCTAGTTCGCACGAGCTGGCTTCGGCCGGCCAGACAGCCTTCACGTCGCAGGCGCCAGGCTACGCGGCTGCTGCGGCCCTGGGCCATCACCATCACCCGGGCCACGTCGGCTCCTATTCCAGCGCAGCCTTCAACTCCACGCGGGACTTTCTGTTCCGCAACCGGGGTTTTGGCGACGCGGCGGCGGCAGCCAGCGCACAGCACAGCCTCTTTGCTGCATCGGCCGGGGGCTTCGGGGGCCCACACGGCCACACGGACGCCGCGGGCCACCTCCTCTTCCCCGGGCTTCACGAGCAGGCTGCCGGCCACGCGTCGCCTAACGTGGTCAACGGGCAGATGAGGCTCGGCTTCTCGGGGGACATGTACCCGCGACCGGAGCAGTACGGCCAGGTGACCAGCCCGCGTTCCGAGCACTATGCTGCGCCGCAGTTGCACGGCTACGGGCCCATGAACGTGAACATGGCCGCGCATCACGGCGCTGGCGCCTTCTTCCGCTACATGCGCCAACCCATCAAGCAAGAGCTCATCTGCAAGTGGATCGAGCCCGAGCAGCTGGCCAACCCCAAAAAGTCGTGCAACAAAACTTTTAGCACCATGCACGAGCTAGTCACGCACGTCACCGTGGAGCACGTAGGTGGCCCGGAGCAGAGTAATCACATCTGCTTCTGGGAGGAGTGTCCGCGCGAGGGCAAGCCCTTCAAAGCCAAATACAAACTGGTTAACCACATCCGCGTGCACACGGGGGAGAAGCCCTTTCCCTGCCCCTTCCCTGGCTGTGGCAAGGTCTTCGCGCGCTCCGAGAACTTAAAGATCCACAAAAGGACGCACACAGGTACGGAAACAGCTGCAGGACCCCTACCCATTCCCACTTGGGCCTGGGACCCAAACCGAAAGTCAGCGGCCAGGTCGCACAAACGCAGCCTCGGTGGGATCCCGGGCGTCAGGTTCCGGCAGGCAGGCAGGGAAATTGTGCGCTGATTTTTAGTTTGGGGCTTCAAATTACGGGAAAAAAAATCATATATATATATATATAAAAAAAACCACACAGAGGGCGGACGAGAAGGATCTGGGGAGACAGATTTTTTTAAATGAGAAACATAAAAGGTCGGAGAACAGGAAGCCAAACCTGGTTTGGCGGAGACCTTGGTGCTTTCGAAGCCGGGGAAAGTGGCTGGCTCCGGGCAGCCGCGGAGGCGCCAGCTGCTCAGGCTGCAGACAAATCTAAACGCTTGCTTGCTGCCAACATCTCTCTCCGTGCACTTCACTGAGGACTTTGCCAAAGGAATGAGCTGAGGAAATTGAGGAGGCCGGATTAAGGGCGTAGAAAGAAACAAAATAGAGACAGAAAGAATTGAGACAGAGTGGGGAAAAGAAATAATTTGGGGTTACGGAGACTTTTGGAGATTTATGCACATTTGAAGAGTTCAGTTTTAGTAGTGACTAGTTTTAAGAGTGGGCTTGAGGTATGGAGAAAGCCCGAGGAAGGCAAGGAAGACCTTTTTGTCCGTTAGACTCCGTGAGGGTGGTTTTCAAAACACCGGATTCGCCGTTTTGGCCTTTAAAAATAATTAAGACACAGGTCCGGAACAGTTAAAAAAAAAAAAAAGTTCCCGCGAGCTCAGGGTTGTAGCCTGGCATCAGGCAAAACTTTCTGGGCCCCCTGCCCCCAGGAGGCCAGGAATTGGGTCTGCTTTCCTATTCTGATTTTCCCGGGTGAGGTCTGAGAACCGTGCTTGGGACTTCGGGTTTAACGCCTGAGTCAGGGAAGAATTTGCGGCGTTGAGTTTTCTACCGCCCAGATTACGCTAAAAAATGCGAGTGTATGTAGGGAGTGGGGTGGGTTGGAGGAGGCGACGAGGGGATGCGGAGCGTCGGGGAGGGGGCAGGGGGAGGAGAGAAAAGCAATAGGGCAGGAGAATAAGCCGCAAACGTGAAAACTAGAAATCGGGAGCCAGGTGGAAGCAATTCGAAATCGTGTATATAACTCTGGGTAATACGAGTTTCCAGACCTGATGCTAAAAACTGACTCCTCCTCCTCCTATTTTTTTTTAAACCTAAAAATAAAATGTAGATCTAATTGTATTAGGGATTAAAATAGAGTTAAAATATTTATAATTCAACTGCAGATGTAAGAATTTATTGACGTTCCGGGTTTTTAAACTTGCAAAAAGCGCTAATCCTGGGCTGCTGGCTTTTTTTTTTTTTTTTTTTTTTTTTTAAATTTCATTTGTTTAGTTTTTGAAAAACGGCCGCAGGATTTTTTTCTAATTAGACCCCTTTCATTCTACTTTCGCACCAGGGGAGAAGCCCTTCAAGTGCGAGTTTGAGGGCTGTGACCGGCGCTTCGCTAACAGCAGCGACCGCAAGAAGCACATGCACGTGCACACGAGCGACAAGCCCTATCTTTGCAAGATGTGCGACAAGTCCTACACGCATCCCAGTTCGCTGCGCAAACACATGAAGGTAATCGCCGCGCTCTCGTCGTCCCCTTTGAGGCAGGAGCTCTCTTGGCTCTCGGCTTGGGGTCGAGCGGAGAGTGGCAGCCAGGCAGTGGCGGGAGCCAGAGGAAGCGGGAAGGCAAAGGTTCCACTCAGTGGAGCTGGGCAGAGAGGGTAGGGCGGGACCTGGAAAAGGGGATGGGAGTGCCCAAGGCCGTTTTAAATTCTTGGTTTCATAATCAAAGTTAAAAGAGGCGAGTATGAGCAAAGGCCGCCACTGAATTTGGCCCGGAGCTAGGGCTTTTGCTGGGGGTTGACGCTGCCGAAACTGCGGCCCTTGCTGCTGGCCGGTGAGACTCAAGAGTTGGACTCCTGCGCCCAGGCCTGAGCTCCGGCTCACCTAAACACGGGCAAGCAAAGTTCAGGGAAAGAAAGTGCAGTCTCTAGCCTCAAATCCACGCTCCCACTTCCGAGACCTATTTTTCTTTTGTGAGTCTTGGGGACGCTGACTTTCCCGGGAGCACGGTGTCTGCAGGCCTGTGAAAGGGCACCAAGCCCAAGGTCCCGCTGATCGGGCCTCGCCTGTGTTCAGGGGGCTCCAAGAGGTCCAGGAGGAAGGGCACTCGCGGCAGTCGCCACTCTAGGCGGCCGCCACACTAGCTCTTTATGTCCGTAAAAACGCGACTTTATTCCTGCAGGTCCACGAATCCTCCTCGCAGGGCTCGCAGCCTTCGCCGGCCGCCAGCTCCGGCTACGAATCCTCCACGCCTCCCACCATCGTGTCTCCCTCCACAGACAACCCGACCACCAGCTCCTTATCTCCCTCCTCCTCCGCAGTCCACCACACAGCCGGCCACAGCGCGCTCTCTTCCAATTTTAACGAATGGTACGTTTAAAATCAGAAACAAAACACCGAACAAAACCCTATTTAAGAGACTGATCACACACGTATACACAACATTACTGAAAGAACCCTGCGAATCAAAACAACCCCCCACACAGACCCCGCAATCCTTTTTAAAAAATCTGCCAATAGACCCAGGACGAGTAACAGAGGAAGTATCAACCTTTAAAAATTTCCTTTCGCTTTCATTATTTTTCCTTTTTTGGCGAAGGCTTGGTACCCAAGGTGCGGTAGGGGGTCTAGGGGGAGGAGGCCACCTGACCAAATGCCGCCAACCCCGAGGGCCAGTTTCTTGTCGGATCCGTACGGGCTCTCTGGGGCTTCGGCTT